CACACACACACACACACACACACACACACACACACACACACACACACCAGTGCGGTGTCCGTCTGGGATTTGTGTCCCAGTCTTTCTGCCCAGTGTGTAAATATTTATGGGGGCCTCAGGCGGGGCTTGGGGTGTCTGAGTCTTTCTCTCCTTCCCTTCCCCCAACCCAACGAGAGCCTAGCGCTTCCCGAAAACTTTTGTCCGCGGAAAGCGGCTGCAGGACCCGGCCCCTCCCCTCCGTGCCATCTTGTCTCCCTGGTCTTCCTCTCCACCCGGGCCTGGCCTGGCCTGGCCGCTCCCACTCTGCAGGCGCGCGCACGCGTGCACACGCACACACACGCGCACGCACACACACACACATACACATGCACACCCACTCCAACCAAGTGCCCACAGCCAGAGTGAAATGCCCCTACCCCCAATTCACTGGATTTGTAACCTCTCTGGGATTCCTGCAGGAGCCTTCCAACCCTGGAAGGCTTTGTGACTCCCTGAGGGGTATGGGGTGAGCGCCCTGGGGCTGTGGTTCTCAGTCCATTCTCCTGACTGTGCCCATGAAAGCTGAGGCTCAGGGCGGCACACAGGGCCAGGGAGAAGTCAGGAGCAGCTGGGATTTGTTCAGGGGCAGTGGGGTGGAGAGCAGGAGTCTAGGCCCAGATTTCGGGACTTCAGTCCCAGCTGTAGGTTAGACTCATTTTTTGCCTTCCTCCCTTTCTCCCCTCTTTGAATCTCTGAATAAGAAGGTCGGGTCCTGGACCTCTGACACTAACTCCCTGCATGGCCTTGGACAAGTTACTTCCCCTCTCTGGCCTCTGTCTCCACATCTGTCCATAGGGGCCGGTGTGCCTGTTGGAGAGGTTGTGGGCTCCCCACATCTACCTGCTGCATGCCCAGGCCCGGCCTGGCAGGGCGGCTCCTACAGCAGAGCGAGGACCAGTGGGAGATGGCTGGCCAAGGGCCAACGCATACATGGGACTGATGTGTCTGCTGTGTATCCGCACTAGCCCTCAGATCCTCTCCTCTTGGTGGGGCCCCTGGAGCAGAGACTTCTGGGGAATGAGCTCCTCCAAGAAGTGGACTCCTTCAGCCTGGAGAGAGAGAGGTTGGGGCGGGACCGGGAAGAATCTTTCTCTGTGTCTGGGAGCCTCTCTCCCTCTTGGCCTCTCTCACCCCTCCTCACTTTCTGGGCCTCTCTTCTCCCACCCTCTCCCTTTGCCCTGCCTTCTTTCTCCGCTTATTCTTCTCTGCTCTCTCCCCCGCTACCTCCTTGCAAGATCTACTGCCCCCCTGTGACCCATTCTGAGTCTCAGCAGGGAGAGGAGGGACTTAATGTGCTGGGGCAGGGTGGGCCATCTGGAGGGGTAAAGCCCTAGGCTGTAACTTGAGGCGCCCCCCCCCACCCTCCAGAGGCTCAGAGAGCCCCCTCCCCAGCCTGGGCTGGGCCAGACAATGTGGCTTTCATAACTCGAGGAGGCCTGGCTCTGCCGCCTTGGGAGAATGAGCCCTACTGCCCAGGAAGCCCAAACCGCAGGAGACCCAGCCAAAACCCCACAGACGCCTGAAGCCGAGACCAGAATCCCCCACACTCCCTGCTGAGCGTCGACAGAAGAGCAGGGCCTGAGCACTGCCTCTGGGGGGCCTGGCTGGCAGGACAGCCAGGGAGCAAGTCACCCCTGCCCTCAGCTGCCCAAGATGCAGACACGGTGCAAGGGGACTCAGGGCACCTCTGATTGGGGCAGGTGGCCAAAGCCCCCACACCTTGGCTCCCCCCCAGTGCCTCCTCCCCACCCACCCCTGCGAGCCCTGGAGAGCCTGGCTCCCTAACCCACAGCAGATTTCTGTCCAGCACTGAGGCGTCACATTCCTGCTCTTGGTTCTAAATTGAATTTCCTGGGGAATTGGAGCCTTCAGACCTAAAATAAGACCAACCCGACCCAGCCTAACTGGCCAGCTCAAGCCCTCTTCAGTCCTCAGCCCCGGGGCTGGGGCTGGGACTGGCGTGTCACAACGGTGCATCCTGTGAGCCCAAATTCTCGCCTCCTTAGGGTTTGGAGCCAAGTGCCACCCCTAATCCTCACCCCCTCGTTCTCTCTTCTGCCCCTGACCTGGGGCATTCCCAATTCCAGGATTCAGTCCTCAGGAACAGACACTTGCTGAGTGCCTCCGGGGGTGCAGGGGTGAATTCTGCCACCACCCCAAGGGAGCAAGCTGGGGAGGCCTGAAAGATAGGTTGGATTTGGGGAGTGGGAGAGGAGAGGGTTAGAACCTCGTGGTCAAGAGAAAACATGTAGGCATGGGTGGATTGGTCAGAAGGCCCAGTGGTGACCTGGGGCCATGGAGAGGTCAGGCTGCCTGGAACACAGGATCCATGTCCATTCATCAGATTGAAGATGTTGACTGAGGCCTTGAATGCCAGGCCAAGGAGAGCTTGGAGTATGGAGTTCAGTCACTACTCTCTGAGCAGAGAGATCCTGGCCCCTCCAGAGATGGTCAGAGCTCCAAGGGGGAAGCTTAGATCCACTGTCCACAAGACCATGGAGAGGTCTGGGTTTGAGTGACCAGAGATTGGAGCTCCAGAACAAGGGTCCTGTGGGCACTCTCCGGGCTTGGAGTGAACCCATCCCGCCTAGAAGAGGTCCCCCCATGCCTTGTCCCGCTCCTCACCTTGGTGGACAGCAGGCGGCCAGAAGGAACTCAATAGAGTTCCTGCTGAAGTTGTGAGTCTCTTGGCCTTCCCTCCTGGGCTTATGAATTTATTTTTTAAAGATTTTATTTATTTATTTGATTGTGAGAGAGAGAGCACGAGCAGAGGGAAAAGCAGAGGGAGAGGGAGAGGCAGACTCCCTGCTGAGCCGGGAGCCTGACAACATAGGACTCGATCCCGGGGCCTGGGGACCATGACCTGAGCTGAAGGCAGACGCTTAACCACCTGAGCCACCCAGGCGCCCCAGGCTTATGGACTTAAACAGCACGTTTCCACTCTCTGCTGGGAGGTCTTTCCAGAACTCAGGGTATTGGCTCCAACCCTATCCCGTGTTAGGGAACAAAGTGTGTCGAGGCATAAGGGGCTGCTCCTTTCTGTGTTCCCCTCTTGTAGATGGAGACCCTAGAAAGAGGTGCAGGGCAGGAGCTTCTGCTCAGAGATGCCGTGTGACAGGGCATGTGTGACCCCCTGTGCACCTTAGACAAAAGTGGCCCTCAGGTCACACAGAGCAGGGTTGTAGCTGGGCAGGCAGATGGCGCCTCCGGGGAGGATGGGGCCGTAACCAGGCACTCCTGCCAGCCTGGGCAGGCACCTTTATGCCAAACATGAATTGCACATCCATACAAGAGCCCTTGGCCTTTGCTGGCCTCCACTTCCTTCCAGCGCACTCTGCATCTCTACCCTCTTGAACATTCCTCTGGGAGCTTCTCCACAGAGATGTTCTCCCCTCTGTGCTGAACAGTGGGGGCTCATGGTCACAGGAAGGAAAATGAGGCTGTTTTGGTCTCTTGATGGTTGAGCCCTGGGGCTCCCCCTGTTGTCTGACTTCTCTTCTCCGTGGGCTTCTAGGGAGAGCTGTTTCTTGGCACCGGGCCCTCCAGGTAGTGCCTCTCGTTCAGAGTTCTGGTCTTCCCACCACTTCTTAATGCCTTCTCATTCTGCTTCCATGTCTCTGGCCACTCAGCACGGGTTCGTCTTAGGCCCTCAGTGTCGCATCTGCAGGGTCACCTCTTGGCTCCAGGAGACCTGTGTCTCCATGTTTCCAGGTCAAAGTGACTGGACTGGATTGTCTTGCCTCCCTGATACCCTTCCGAGGTCTGAAGCTCGCCCTAGAACGGCAGGTTCCCTGCAGGAGGGTCTCCTCGGGACTTGGTCTGGGCTCTCTAATTACTTGTCCCTTCTGGCCTCCAGGTCACCAACCCTGTAGGTGACCTACAAGGAGATGCTGCCAGAGAGTCGCGACACGGGGGAAGGAGGGCACAGATGGGGACCTGTCTCGCCTTCATCCCTCTCCAACCCTGGAGGGGGGCCATGAGAGCTGCATTCCTGGCTCCTTCTACTACAGGACCGATGGTGTCATCCCTGTGCACCCCAGTGACCTCAGGAGGGAGCCTGCGAAGCGACCACGAGGCCCCAGTTCTCTAGGCTCTCCAGCCTCAACACCACCAAACAGCTGTGGCTTCCCTTGCTCATGCTGCAGCCGCTCACCCTGGGGTGTTGGCGTCTGCTGCCCTTCTCGGAACGGTCTTTCCCCCTTCTTTGCTGATTGATTATCATTCAAGACCCAGCGTGGGCACTGCCTCCTCCAGGAAGCCTCCCAGACACACACACACGTGCACGCACACCCCTGGAATGAGTGCCCAGCTTCTGTGCCTCCACAGCCCTGGTGCACCTCTTGCCCCTCGGTGTATGTGACTGCACCCCACCCCTCACAGATGACTCCTGAGACAATGACCTCCTCTTCCTGGTTTTGGTCTACCCAGCACTTGACATACTGCAAGGGGCATCATAGCTGCTTCATAAATATTAACCCAAACAGCACAGGAAGGGAGGGAGGGAAGGCGGAGGGCAGGCCGGAAGGAGGGGAAGGAGGAAAGAAGGTATGTGGACAGAAGGTTCATGAATGGCCCCCTGCGTTCTGGGCACTGCTGAGCATCTCATTTACTCTTGGAAACCCTGAGGGATAAGCATAAGGATCCCCCCCACCACCACCACCCTTTACACACAAGGAAACATGAGTCTTGGTAACTTGCCCAAGTTGGCTACTGATAAAAGCCAGGGCTTGGATCTTCCAGCTCCTCGCTCAGGCCTTTTTCATTATACCACACGGGAGAGACAGTGCTACCCGTCAGGGCCATGGCACAGTGCCTCTAAGGGCCAAAGGCTGGAACTGGGCAGGCCCCTCCCTTCCTAGGAATCTGGAGCAAGCCCTGAGCCTCCCTCTTCATGCCAGCTTAGTATTAGACCCAAGAGCCATGGCTGAGCTGTTGTAGCCCAGGCTCGGGGCTGGGAGAGGCACCATCCAGCAGGCATCGCTCCTCCCTCCACCCTGTGTGTCATCTCAGCTCCCCTGGTCCCCTTGCCCCAGCCCTGTGATCTTCCAAAGGCCATTTGATTCCTCTCTCATGAACCCAGGAGATAGGGGGCTCTCAACTGGCCCAAAGACTGGGTGGGGCAGGACAGAACCGACCCCTCCCTCCCTGGAGCAGCCGGGGTCACCATGAGGGGTGCCAAGCCTATAACTCTGCCACCCTCCCGAGCTTGCAGGAGTCCTGTGCCCCTCTCCCACCCCAGCTCCTGTCTCTGCAAAGGGCCTGTGGTTTTCCCAGGCAGGTGTGAACTACCTACCTGGGTCCCCTGGGTCCCCTGGGGCCTGGTTCCCCAGGCTGTGGGGGATTGGGCATCTCTGGAACAAGGACTGCTCAGGTCCAGGGGGGCAGCTGAGCCCCTGGATGGCTCCCTCCCCTCAGGCTGCTCCCAGGCCCCAGACCTGCCTGCCCCACCCTCATTGGCTTTCCTGATGGTGGCTTCCTGCCTCCTGTCTTGGCTGGGCTTCATTTGGAGATAGCTCAGAGAAAGCCAGCGCATGTAGGCCCCTGTGTTCTCTGTGATTGAGTCTGTTTCTATTTCCAAGACTAGTCTTTTGTCTATCACTCGGTCGCCCTGGGCGTGTCTCTCTCTTGGTCACTTTGTGTGGTGTGCACAGGCGGGTGGTGATCGTTCAGTCTCTGGGTTCCTGCCCTTTCTCTTCCTTCTCTGACTGCCTGTGGCTCTCCTCTCCCTATGCCCTCGTGGTCTCTGTGTCTTTCTGAGTCTCGTTTCTGTGTCTCCCCTGCTCCCAAAATGGCATGTGGGGGGGCACCCTCTCGAAGCCCCCGTCCCCCGGACTGCACAACTGGGGGTCTGATGAGAGGCTTGGGGAGCACCCTGCTCACCCTCAGGCCTTCCTCCATCCCTGGTGACACTGAGGGATGGGAGCTCAGGCCCCTCGCTGCCTCCCTCCCCCACCTCCCATCCCTCCCAAACTCCGCCCCCCCCACCCCCCTCCACCCGGCCGCGGCCGCAGGGGGCCCTAGTCCTGCTGCCTCAGGAGCTGTGGGTTTGAAGGAGGCTCCATTTCTGCCTTCCGCCCACCCTGCTCAGAGGCGTTGAGCCAGTCACTGTAATTACGTGTGGCTGTGGTCCGCCTTTTCCCAGCCTCTTGGGCCGCTTCCCTGCCTCTCTTCCTGCCTGGCCCTTCCGCCTCGAGCCCACCCTTCTCACCCCAGGTTTCTGACTCTCCCTCCCTGCTGTCCTCCTCTCTGACCTGGCTTCTCCCTGTGTGTCCCTCTCACCCTTGCCTGCCCCATACTTCCCGCTCTGTCACCTCTGCCTCTGTCCCCACCCTTCCCTGTCTCCCCCTCACTTTCTGCTGAGTCTCCCTCCTGTCCCAAGCTGTCTGCCCCAGGGTTTCTGGGGCTCCCTCCTTCGGCGCCCAATCCCACCTTCTGATGCCATCTCTCTCGGCTTCTGCCTTTCACTGGCCCTTTGGTTCTTTCCCTCTTCCTGTCACTCTAGATGCCTGTTCCTGTCCCTCCATCACTGGCCATCTGTCTGTCCTCTCCTGTGCTGTGTTTCTCCCCATGTCCCTTTCTGCTGCACATCTCTGACCCCTCTCCCTGACAACTACACAGACCCAAGTGTGCACGTGCACACACTCGTACACACACACACGCGCACACACACACACACCCTTAATCCCTCCTGACTTTGCATTTTGGGAGCTTTCTATTTTGGAGCCTGGCACCATTGCCAGATAGGGTAAGGGCTGGGTAGCTGGTACAAAGAGGCCGAGAATGAGGGCTTATGGCATTCTGGGCTGTGGGAAGGGGACCAGGGCTGGGCAGACAGGAGGGGCACCGGGAAACTATACCTTGGTCATGTGCTTTGTCTCTAGCCCAGACCCCATCCCTCCTGCCTGGGCTGGAGGTAGTAACCGGATCCACTCACCCTGTGGAGGCAGCGCTAGAGGAGGGCTCCCTGGAGGAAGCGGAATCCCCCATGCCCCAGGGTAATGGCCCTGGGGCCCCTCAGCCCCTGGACAGTACTGACCTCGATGTCCCCACAGAAGCTGTGACATGTGAGTCCTAGGGGGCCGAGGGGTGGGAATGGCAACATGTAGGGGTCATGCTAGGGAATCCTATCCCTACGGGCTGGTGGAAATGCGGTGGGTGCCTGTGGGAGCCCAGCACTGGGCCAAAACCTTGAAGTGTGGGCAACGAAAAGGTGTAGGACACGGTCACCGTCCTTTCTGTCTAGGAAAGAGACCTCCACATACAAAATGATTAGTATAACATTAGTTCACAAGGAGGGTGGACGGGCTCCAGGCAATATGGTTCAAGAGCAAAGGGCGTGGGACCATATGAAAGGAGGAAGAGAGCTGGGGGTGCTGAGGCCCCAGAGCCAGAGCCCCCTGCAGCCCCACCCTTCAGGGTGTTGAGGGTGAAAAGGAAAGAGAGAAACCCCCAGTTACTCTGAGCAGAAAGGAGCCTATTCCCAGGCTTGGCTCAAGGCCCCCAAGGAGGTCCTGGGAGGGAGGGAGTTCTCGGCCCTCACCCTCAAGAGCAGGGGAAGGGGCAGCCAGAGCTGTTTGTAGTTAATAAGAAGATCCACAAAATCGATAGACACATGTGCACTTTCCAACTTTCTTTCGCTGACTGGTTTCAGACTCTTCAAACCAGCCTGTACAGGACAGCGAGTGCCAAGTCCATTTTACAGATGAGGAAACTGAGGCACGCAGACCCACTCAGCCTGGACACAGCTGGGGAACTCAGGTCTCCCGGCCCAGGGCTCTTTCCTGTGCCTGCCTGCTCAGCTGGCATGGCTGAGGGGGAGCCGCCTTCAGCCAGGGCATCTGGGGCTAAGTTGGACTCCCTGGAAGTTAGGGTTACTAAATCCTGCTAGCGCACTGCCCTCAGCCTCTAGACACACCCACCAGCAGAACTGAGAGAAAGAGGTCAGCGCCGTGGCCACAGAGGAGGGGGTCTGGATGGGAGTTGGACAGACACCTCTGTGTCTATGGGCCCGAGTGTTTGCCCTGTGACTCAGCTCCCATGACCACCCCCACGGCCATGGCCACAGGCAAGCTCTGTGTCTGCCCAAACCTCCCAGGGCCCTCAGTTCACCACACACTCCCACCCTCCAGTCACTGTGCCCATGTTTAGGCATCGGGGCAGGGGGCACGGAAGCGGGCCAAGGACTCGGGCCAGTCTCCCGCGTGGGGCCAAGAGGTGGGAGCGGGATGATTCAGGCCTGGCTGCTTGCCGTGGCCTTACCCCTGTTTACCCAGATGCAGGCGCCCGCCGCACCTCAGGGCCAAATGCTCCCAGGCGTGGAGCTTCTCCAGAGCTGTGTCTCCCATCCTCTCTTGACTCCCCATCTGGCCTTCGGTGCCTTTCTCCCAACCTCCATCCCCCCGCCTCTCCGTGCCCCTGCTCCACTTCCTGGCTGTGGAACCTTGGGCAAGTTTTACCCTCTCTGGGTCTCCATTTTTTTCATCTGTGAAATGGGGCCAGTGACAGTAGATCTATCGAGATGCGTAAAGAAGCTGCTCTATAGAAAGCTCTCGGCGCGCTGTTGGCACCTAATAACAGCCTAACGTGTAAGGTACGAGTTATAAGACGAGGGGTGACTGTGATAGGAGCAGCTTCGTCCCCAGTCCTTCATCTCCCAGCCTCTGCCCCACTCTGCGCTCTGAGTCCCAGCTCTTGGCCTCCAAGCTGGGCCCACGTCTGACCCTTTCTAGCTGTGGGACCTTGGACAAGTTCCTGTGCTTCTCCGGGACTCAGTTTCCTCATCTGTGAAAGGTGGATACCGCCTCAGGGAGAAACTGAGAGGGTTCGTGAGAGAATGGCGTGGAAGCGCTTAGAAGGGTGGCTGGCAAGCAGAAAGTACTCCATGATGTGCTGTCACTACAACCACTTCGTAGAAGGCCCAGCCCTCTCAGTCAGGGCAAGCACTGAGGCCACCTTCCCCTCTCCTCAGCCTCCAGCTGCCCCCGCCCCAGACACCTCCTCGTACTACGATGCAAACCCAGGGGCCCAGCCTAGAGGGAGTCAGGGACCCACACCCCAGTGCCTAAGAGATGGAAGTACCCAACATTTATGCATTTACAGAGGGTGCTGCCCAGGAGCCAACAGCCCTGAGCAGCTGAGGGGGCCCGGAGTTCTCCCTGTCACCTTCTCAGTCCCCTTCCCCAAACACACACACACACACACACACACACACGTATCTGCCCCCATCTCTTGCAAACAGAACCATGTCATCCAGGTGAGCAAACCTGAGGTAAGGAAAGGGACTGGGTGCTCTGGGGGGACCCCCAGGGCCAGCAATCCCTGGACCCCACTGATGAAGCTGAAGTTTGGTTCCTCAGCCTGGGATGTGGACTCAGGGAGTTCCTGGCCTCGGGGATTCCCCACCACAGGGCTCTCCTCCCTTCTCTCCCCCCTCACCCAGACCCCCAGGGCTCCCCAGGAGACTTGCTCTGCCAGCCACCCCTCAGAGGCAGACAGGGCAGGGGAGCTGGGGCGGAAGAGAAGAGGTAGAGGGGCTGCTCTGAGGTGCCCCTGGAGCCCAGGGCGAGGGCATTCGTCTCCAAACAGATGTTTCCAATAAATCACCTAGCACACCAAGGGCAGAAATATCTGGGGGCTCGGCAGGGGCCGAGGTGAAGGTTAATGCTTCACTGCTGTCCCTCCGCCCCCCAGCCAAACAGTCCTTAATCCCTCCCCCCTGACCACTGCCACTCTTGCTAAAACCCCAGGACCCCAAGAGCGGGAGATGGATTTCACGTGGGGTAAGAAGGTTGGGTCCAGGGCTCTGAGCCCCCACTGTTGCCTTGCACCTCTGTCTCTTCTGGAATGAGCACTGGCCTGGGGGTCATGAGCCAGGCTCAACTCAACTATTTCCTGGTGTGCCTCTGGGCAAGTCAGTTCTGCTCTCTGGGCCTCAGTTTCCCCATCTGCAGAATACAAGCCCGGCTAGGTGACCTGTGGCGTATCTAAGGATGAAGCAGGCAGGATTGGGGCAGAGCTCTGGGAGGCCGTGCGCTCCCCACCCCCATTAACCTTTCTCATCATCTCTCTAGGCCAGCCTCAGGGGAACCCCTTGAGCTGCACCCCACTAGTGGCGAATGGCTCAGGCCACCCCTCAGAGCTGGGCAGTGCCAGGCGGGCAGGGAATGGTGCCCTGGGTGGCCCCAAGGCCCACCGGAAGTTGCAGACGCACCCATCTCTCGCCAGCCAGGGCAGCAAGAAGAGCAAGGGCAGCACCAAATCTACTGCCTCCCAGATCCCCCTCCAGGCACAGGAAGGTAAGCATCCCCTCCCCGCTCTCCCTGGGAGAGGCCTCCTCAGCCGGACCCCTCCAAGCACGAGGCAGGGACAAGCCGCAGTATCTTCAGCAGGTTGCTGGTTAGAAGCTCAGGCTCAGTGCCACGCCAGGCCTCCCGGACCTGAACCTCTGGGTGGGGCCCAGGAGACCGGGTTTTGACACTGCCTCCGGGGAATCTGGCCACAGCTACACCTGCTGGGGAAAGTGAGGCCTATCTGCCTTCTCAAGACCAACCCCTTCCCATGCGTGCTCTCCCAGAGTGGCTGTAACAAGGAATGAAACCATCTGGGCTGAGCCAGCATAAGCCACTCCATTTTTGGAAACAAAATTTTCCTCAAGGCGGGGACCGCCTGTTTAGTGAGAGCAGAATACCTGGCAGAATAAAATGATGCACCTTTGGGTACTTAACCGGGGGACATGCCAGCCATTGTTCCTGCAATATAAGCCCCTGCTGGGCCGCCCCAGACAGCCGGCTTCCCTGCCCCCAGCCCAGGCATTAGTTCCGCCAGGATGACAGCTGCCTATAGCTCAGTAGTGCTCGACCTTCACCCCAGAATTCTTAAGTGCGTCCTGTCCACACGGGGATTCCGGCGTGGTCTTCTGCAAACAGGATTCAGCGTACACATTTGCACATAAAATGTTCATCAGCCTTCCCACAGAGAAGATTCTGCCCAACAGTCTTAATTATGAAAGGAATGTTCATTCATTTAAAAATGTCCTGGGCCTCTGCTGTGAGCCAGGCACTGTGCTATGCGCTGGGTACCCGGTCCCTGGCCTCACAAAGCTCTCATGAGAAAGACAAACAGGTAATCACCATATGGGGTGATAAATACAGTGGTAAGGCCACACACAGGAGGTCATGTAAACACAGGGGACACCCACACCAGCCCAGAAAGCTGGGGAGGAGAGTCTGGGAAAGCTCCGAAGGTGTCTGAGCAAGCCTTAAATGGTGAGTAGGAGGATCTAGCCAGGGGAGTATTAGCACAGAAATGAGAAAGGCTATCTTGGCTAGATTATGAAATTCTAGGTGAGGACTGGGGGGAGGTGAGAGTCCAAGCAGGCAGGGGCTGGAGGGGTGGGAGGCACCTTGTAAACTGTGCACTGGACCTAGACTTTATCCGGAGGGCATAGGGCGCCTGGGTGGCTGAGTCGGTTAAGGGTCTGACTCTGAATTTCGGCTCAGGCCATGATCTCAGGGTCAGGGGATCGCGCCCTGACTCTGGCTTCAAGCTGGATATGGAGCCTGCTTAAGATTCTCTCTCTCTCTCCCTCTACCCCCCACCCCCTACACGCTCAAGGCGCGTGCTCTCTCTCTCTCTTAAGCAAAGTTTATCTGGACGGCAATAGGGAGCCATTGAAGGATTTTAAACAGGGTAGTGACTTCACTGGATTTGCATTTGAAGAGAACTTCCTTGTTCAGTTTTCAGGTAGATGGCAGGGTGCCAGCTATACAAGAACCCCAGTCCCTCCACACAGAAATGGAATGGCAGAGTCACACCCTCCATGGCAGTGTGGGACTCCCTCAGGACCAGCAGCCTGGTGCCAGGGACCCACCTGGTAAGGGGAACTGGACACTGCACTGCATGCCCAGCCCCCCGTGAGGGAGGCCGGCTCAGCATCGTGGCAGCCCAGCGAGCAGCTCAGAGCACGGGCTCCAGAGCCAGCCTGCCTGGTTTCGATTCCCAGCTCCACCACTTACCAGCTGGCTGCCCATGGGTAGACTCATACATTCATTCACTTACCATCTATTTACTCAGCACCTCAATGGCAGGCGCCTTCTAGGGACTTGTAACGTATCAGTGACTACAGGGGACAAAGATGCCTGTCCTTGTGGAGCTTACATTTTAGTGGGAGGAGAGAGCCGCGTAGTGCCATGGAAGGTGATAAGTCCTTCCAGGGGAGAGGCGAGGCAGGCCAGGGCAAGGGGCTGAGGGTGCTGGGGTGGGGCCCGCAGGTTGCAGTATTAAAGATGGTGGTCAGGGAAGGCCACCGCAGTGTGTTTCAGGAGGACAGTGTGTGGGAGGAGACCAGGTCTCATCCTAGGGAGGTGGAAGCCACCGGAGGGTTCTGAGCACGAGAGGGATGCACTCTACTGAAGTTTTGCAAGGGTCCCTCTGGGCTAATGCGTGGGGAGCAGATGCAGGAAGGGGTAGTCAAGGGTGGGGGCTGGGGCAACCAGAGAGGAGGTTGTTGCAGTTGCCTGGGTGAGAGACGAGCAGAATGGTAGGATTCTGGGTATATTCTGAAGCGATTTCTCTGTGTCTCAGTTTCTTCATCTGTCAAGTGGGGCTAATAGTAGCCCCATTTCATGGAGTTGTTCCAAGTTTAAATGGGGTTCATTCATGCCCAACACTTAGAAGAGTGCCTGGGACATGCTACGACGAGGGTTTGGTAAATAAATGACTAAGGGTGGTGAGGAGCCGGGACTCAATCCCGACGGCCTGGGCTCAGACCCTCGCTCTGCAGCTACCTGGGCAGGTGCATGTAACTCCGTGCCTTGGGGTCATCAGCTGGAAAGCTGGGCCCCTCGCAATCCCCACGTGTGGGAGCAGTGGGAGAGTCGCCGAGCCCTCGGCCGTGAGCCCTCTGAGCCTGGGTCCCTCGGCCCTGGCTGTCTCACCGGCCCTGTACCCCGCCCGTGCCCGCAGACTGTTGCGTCCACTGCATCCTGTCCTGCCTGTTCTGCGAGTTCCTGACCCTGTGCAACATCGTCCTCGATTGCGCCACGTGCGGCTCCTGCAGCTCCGAGGACTCATGTCTCGGCTGCTGCTGCTGCTGCGGCTCGGGCGAGTGCGCCGACTGCGACCTGCCCTGCGACCTGGACTGCGGCATTGTGGACGCCTGCTGCGAGTCGGCCGACTGCCTGGAGATCTGCATGGAGTGTTGCGGGCTCTGCTTCTCCTCCTGACCGCCGCCGCCCCGCCCGCCCACGCCGCGGCCCCGCCTCCGGTGGGGGAGGGGGAGGGGCGGGGCCGCCGCAGCACCGCCTCCTCGCGGTGTCCCGGCCCGGTGGCAGCGCCGACGACCCGGAGTGGGGGGGCCGGGCTGGGGAGGGAGCCGCGCCTGGCCCCCCCGGCCCCCCCACCCCCGGCGAGAGCACTGTGAAAGTGGGGGGCAGGAGCGCGGGCGGGGGGAGGCGGGGCCGGCGGGCTGTGCGCTTCTCTACCTCTCCCGGCCCCTGGGGCCCGCCTCCCTCCGCCCAGGCGCAGCAAAATGTGAAGTGAGACATCCCAGCCCGCCCTGGGCCAAGCCTTTCCCCAGTCTCCTTACGGGGCCCTCGTGGGGGGCCTGACTCCTACAGTGACCCCCAAGGTCCCCCAGAGGGCAGGGCTGGGCCAGGAGGGACAGGAACAGTATAGAAAAGACAGGAAGGGGAGAGGGAGGGAATGGAGGGTGGGTCTGTCCTATTTGTTGCTGTAAATAAAGTTATTTGTCCGTCTCAGATCTCCTCCGCGCTCGGGAGTAGTGTCTCAAAAGCAAACACTCCCTCTCCCCGCAACACACACACAAAGCACCCAATGGATGGAGGAGGCCTCCCTGCCCTCTGGGGTCCCTTCCCTCCTTCATGTTCCCCTTGAAGGCAGGAAGAAGAGGGGTACCGACTCCCTACCATTTTTTCCCTCTTCCCGCCAAAGGGATGGGGAAGTCCAGGGAGGGAAGAGTTAACCCTTGGCATACAATTAATTAACAACAGATGTGTTCCGGTTTTGATTAATTAATCTCCTGCTGACTCCTGCTTCTCGAAGCCCTTGCCTGTGATGGCTCGGGGCCTATGTTGGTGGCAGAGCAGTGCCCGGGGTGGGGCCGACTCTGGCCGGTCGCAGCCTGGGCTTGCTCCTGGGCCACGCTGGGAAGCAAGTGTGGCCTGAGTGGGGGTCACTAGGCCCAGCCGCAATCCCGGACTGTCAGGGGGCCTGAGGAAGAAGAAAACCGACGGGATTAGTGGAAGCCTCAGAGGCCATGCGGCCAGCACCCTTCATGTCTGCAGGGAAGGCAGCCCTCCCCACCCCATCCTGGGCCTGGAGGAAGCCAGGAGGTGTCCAGGGTGAGTGAGAGGACTGTGCCATGATTGGACTCGGATCCCCCTGAGGAGAAGACAGGGCTGGAGAAGGCTTTCTAAAGTGGAGAAATTGGTGGTCACTGCTTTCAGAACAAAAGCTAGAGTGGCCAGGAGGGATTCGGGAAGGAAGGAGGGAGCTCAGAAAAAGGGCCAGATGAAATGTGAACTCTCTTAAGGAATGCCATATGGGGGAGCAGCCAGTGACTTTGGGAGGTGGGTGCGGTTGCAGCAGGAGGAGGTAGGAAGGGGTGAGAAGGACTGCTCAGACCATGGCGAGCCTCCCCTACACACACCCCCCAACAGGTACACAGCCCTCACTTTGCCAACAGCAAGGTTTCCCTGACCTCTAGGATCTCATAGGAAACTCAGGACACAGAGAGGAAGGGACCTGTCCAGGGTCGCATAGTCAAGACCAAAGCCAAGAGAGAAGCCCTATCTCCTCAGCCCCCCAGTGTTCATTTATCTGTTGATCTGAATGTTTGTTTAGTGATTGCACACCCAAAGTACAAAAGGCTCATCTGTGTATACACAAGCATATACGCCTATTTTCTCTTTTCCAAAGATGTCAAAATTCTCTACATGTTGTCCTGCACTGTTTTTTATCACTTGACCATTCGTCCGGGGGATCTTCCTGAGCACAGTGAAGAGCGGCCTGGAGTCCCACCGAAGGGCCAGTGGCCACCCGGTTACCCAGCTCCGGCTTAGCCCCTTCCCTTTATTTTTCTACGACAAGCAAGGCAGTGCGAACAAGCTGTGTGTCTGGAATATTCCTAAAAGTGGGATTGCTGTGACACTGACAGAGCGCCCGATCAGAGTGGCGTGCCACTGGTCACGTGGCCACAGGAGCGCCACTTCTCTCGCTGCCGTGGCTCTCAGTCCTGAGGAGGGCAGACGGTAGTGGGGGGCTTCCATGCAGTCCCTGCTCCGCCTCAGGTCTTCCCCAAGGCTGGGGGCTGCTGTTAGGGTGGCCAGGAGGAGGGGCGCAGTGCGCCTGACCGACTTGAGGTCTGGTCCAGGTGGGCAGGAAGGCCCCCTCCCTGGCCCTCTCCCTTCCTGGGGTCCGTGGCAGGAAGAGGCACCTCTCCAATGCAAATAGCGATTTCCTGCTGCAGGCTCCAGGCTGTTTTCTTTAGGACAGTGGCTGAAACCTGAGCGGCTGAGCCGGCTGGGGGCAGGCCAGGGGCAGGGTTCAGCCAGCCTACCCCCCCCAAGACACACACACACACACACACACACACACACGAGTGAACCCACAGACTCCTTGCAGTCACATCCATTCCACAAAGTCACACACACAGCACACGTACACACGTATGGGCACTCAGAGAGCCATGGCCAGCCCTGCTCAGCCCTGGGCTGTGCTGCAGAGCCTCGGTCCACCCCTCCCCTCCCCCTGCCTCCCCCAGCCTTGCCCACGTGGCCCTCAGCGGGGCTGGGAAGCCAATGGCATTTGTCTTCGAGGCCTCCCACCCACCCAGTCCTGCCCAGATACCCTTCCAGAGCAAGCCCTTTTTCTGGACCCTTCTTCCCCTCTACTCAGCTATGGAGCTATTCTCTGTTGGCTCCCCGATCTGCTTGCCACCTGGCTGCTCTGAGCCAGGTGTCTGTTCTAGCCCTGGCTTTGCTGTGGGCCCCAGGGATGAGGCTCCTTCCCTTGGCTTCAGTGTCTTTATGTAGATCATGGAACATCAGTGAGACACTGGAAATATAACACTTGCCACAGTGTTCAGGGAAATAGCCTGCCTCTCTGGTTTTCCTTCATCTACGGAGCCCCCTTTTGCCCGGGAGATTTCTTGACTGGCCATCCTCATGCCCTGAGTCGTCTAACCCAAGACAGGCATTATCATACTTAAGGGAGGAGAAGGTGGTGAGGCCAAGTTGCCTCTGGCCAGGACTGAGCTTGTGTGTCAGACTCATAAGATTTTGCCCCAGGACCGAGCAAGTAGCTAAACAAGGGGCTGGCTAATGAGGGGAAGGGTGGTCAGCCGGCCCCTCTGCTTGCATGGCTTCTATAGCAGCTTCTTTCTGTTTTTTAGCACATTTAATTGGCATTCCCTGTGCTAGTACCCAGAGCTGGGCAAACTGAGCCCCAGGCCCTGCCGATCCCATGGCTCCAGGGCCGCCAGAACGGGACACCTGTAAGCAGCCTCCATGCTGGATTGCCTGCAACCAGTCATGCCCCGGGGCCTTTGTCCACCCCCCGCCCCCCACCACCACTGGGAGATGAGGCAGCAGTGGGGGGACTGAGGGCTGACCCCCCGAGCCTCCCAGGACAGTTGCTGCAGACACTCCCCATTGCGGAGCAGTGGGAAGCCAGTGTGGTCGCTCCCAGGACTGGCCCTGAGCAAGAAAGAGCCTCAGGCTACACATCGGGGCAGCAGAGGGGCCAGAGATTACAGACCCCGCCCCTTGTCACCTCCATGTCTATGCTCCTTTCTATATTCTGACTCTCCTGGAATGACGTGGAGACACAGGCATAGGGTGGACCCATAGCCACAGCCGTCCTGTTGACCCAGCCATCCCTTCACCCTTCACCTCTTGCAGAGGAGAGCCTCCTCCCAGCCTTCCTTGCTCCCCGTCTGGTGTTACTACCTCTCCCCAACCCCGTAGCAGCCTCTACAGTCCACAAGGCCTGCCATCTCTAGGTGTGCCTCGTCCCCTCCTACAGCAGGCAGGTAGGACTCTGGGGGCGCTGGGAGGGGTGGGAAAGGGAAGCACATTCATGCGCTGTGTCTACCCGACATTTCTCATTTTACCACCTCAAGCCCCCAGGGTCCTCATTCCTGGGCCAGTCACCGTGTCAAGGGATGGAAGGCTAAGATGGGCCAGGCCTCTGTGGCTGGGGAGGGTGGGTGACTTGGCTGCCCCTCCGGAGAACGATGTGGAATCCAAGAGGGGAAGCTTCCCAAAGAAGTAGGGGTGCTGTAGCCAAAAGAGGGGGAGGGGCTGACAGATGAAAACAACAGAAGTCACGATGGGGTGGGACTACTGCGTGTGAGTCCAGAGGAGGCGCCTGGGTCCGGGAGGCCTGGCTGGAAACCTTGAATTGTCAAATGCAGCTCAGGGCACTCGGCCAGAGAAGAGAAGTCAAGGACGGCGGCCTTCAGATATCCGAAGCCCGGGGGAGGAGAGTGAGGCTTATTCTCAGGCTCCAGCAGGCCGAGGAAGACCAAGGAGCAGACATACCAAGAGAGGGCTCCCAGCCCCAGCAAGGGAATTGCTCTGATAGTGAGAGCTGCCCGCAGCGCCATGGCCAGCAACAGCGGTGGGTGGGGCCTCCCTCTTCCTAGGAATGTTCTGGGGGAGAGGGGTGTGGATGGGGTCCCTGCCCTGGGGTTGACTCGTGGTCAGGAGGACAGATGGGGGGTGTCAGGTGGCCTCCTCAATTCCTGCTAACTGAGACCTTCCATGGCTCCACAATGCAGACAGAGACCGACTGATGAGAGAGAAGCAGAGATGGAAGGCAGAGGGGAGATCGTGAGGGGACAGTGCAGATGAAGTGTCCGCAAGGCCCTGGAGGCAGAAAAGCCACTCAGGCAGGCTGCGGGGCCCGTCCCTCAGCTCCTCCCAAGGTCGCCGGCCGCGGGCTGTGGGGGCAGTGGTGCATCTCCATCCCAGGTCCCTTCTGTGCCTGGAGCCTCCGCAGGGCCGGGCAGCTTGGCATTCATTAGGGGCTGGCTAATGGCTCGGAAGATTGGCCAGGGGCGCTGCTGAATAGAGACCTCGGTGAGATTTATTCCTAATTATCTCATTTGTCTCCCCCCATTACTCTTTATGGCTGGGATTTATAGGGCCATTAGTGGGGCCCAACCAGGCCAGGAGGAGCATGAGCCTTGAGATGCTCCATA